AAACCTGATGGAGGGAATATTTTACGTTCATTATTATTGTCGTGTAGAGTTTTGTCGGCTGAGCCGCAAATATAAACCGTACGCGATCTGGGGGCTGCGATCTTAGGACCTTTGTTCTAGCGGATAATAAACCGATTAGTGCTTAGGGTACAAAATGGTCGCCACATTTTGTCAATAGAACGCATAGAGGCAGCAAACGAGTGAAAAATGCAATGGTTGCCAGATGTAAGCTACAATTAAATCTCTCTTGAGAAAATATATATATATATACGTGACTCCAAGTAGATGAAAAGGAATTGCAAGGTGGAAATTGTCACTTAATCATCATATCATTCTTTTTCAGTCACTACACACTTACAAACTGTCGCCATTTTTTGAAGTACGATTTTTATTTATCGAAATCATATTTCATCGGTTTATAAAGTTCGTTCAAAAGACATTTCGTCACATCATTCAAACTTTAGCATAAATCTACTGAATATTTATTTATATGAAATAAGTAAACTTTGTTTGTTTAATTGAAGTTAAGGTGATTAGCATTTTCACGATGAAGTAAAAACTGTAAAATCTTGCCACACATTACCTAAAAGCAAAACAAAGAGCGGGCTTTTAATGCCGAGTAAACATCAAATAAAATCTTGTTTGTTTGTTGTTGGCATTTGGTTAGCATGACATGCAACAATTATCATCGACATCTTATTTGCGATATGTTGCAAACGTTCATCATTTAGTTGGTGTTTGTGCCTGACTTTTATTTTTAGTTTTTCTCCACTCCACTCCACATATACACAGCAGACAGATGGAATGGTTAGTCAGTCAGTGGATTTGAAATCACATGAAAAATATCTATCAATTTTATTTAATGATATTAATGTTATTCATGATGTTGTCAATAAAAATAACGATGATGATCACTATCATGATGATGATGATGATGATGATGATGATGATGACTATGAAAAACACATAAATTATAAGTTAATGCTAAGGTGATGTTTATTGATGAATAACATGTGCTTGCGTTTATGTTTAAATCAAAGAGAAAAAATGGAAAATTTTTGAAAAAAAAAAAAAAATTCATAAAAATTGTTAAGCATAATCAATATAACGAAAGCAGGTGAATTTTTACTATGCTAGTAGTTTAGTAAATACTTGTACAAATTCGCTCAAGAGTGAAACAATAAAATCCATATTCGTTAAGGTGACCAAAGGTTATTTTATTTAGTGTTTAAGTGCTCACCACGTATGTGCACATAATCGTGAGCAAACTAAGAGGAGAAACATTATATTCGGCCATCGCACACCCTTAAATGCCCTACACAACTTCGCTTAATACAATAGTAGTGTACATAATGACGTTTGAAAACAAGCCATTATGTGGAAAGTGGCGGAAAAAGTGGTCCAATCCGAAGTATTGTTAATTACGTTCGTCGCACACAATCTGCCAAGTTTCATAAAGATATCACAAAAATTGCTTGTAACTTGGACACAAGATTGCAGGGGCAAACATCGGACGGACAGACAGACAAACAGACCGACAGAATCACCTTTGGTATAACAGAAGGTCGGTCTGTCTTAGCTCCTTCTATAGGTGGCATCTATCCGCACGACTTTCATATATCCTAGTACGACAAGTGGTAAAGGATACGAAAAAAAAATCGAACTTAAAATTAAATTAAATATCTTATGTTAACGAATATAAAAACAAAAATTATTTCCGTGACGAAGAAAAATTCTTAGTGGACTGGCGCGTTATTCCTATTTTCGAGTTAAAAGAGCCCAAGTGGTAGACGCAATGGGAAATCGTGTTATAATACTATTTTGCAGGAAAACGTAAACAAAATCTTATGGTTTTCGAAAAGGGGGTTTAGCTTGCGTGAAAGCTAACGTGCTATCGCATCGGATCCCGTACTTTCTACTTTCTATACGTGCTTCTCTTCTATTTTGTTTTTTCTGGTTACCTTGTCTTTATACCATTGCCCAAGTGTTAAATGAAAACAACAAAAACTACATTTTAAATTGATTTGAAGTTGAAAAAACAAATAAATAAAACAGTTATGGGCTTCATTGTTACCTATCAAGTGGTTGGTCGTCCATCTAGCCGAACACCTTTTGTTCAATTCAATATTGTTTTCTAACATCGGAAAAGTATGTCGAAGCTTCAGTGTTTGCTTACTTGCTTGTCTGTGATGCATGTATGCATTAATCAAGTATCTCATTGCCTCGATATGCATGTTTACATATGCATGTCAGTTAGTTAACGTTTTTTATATGAATTTTGTTTTTTTCTTTGTTTTTCTTATTCATGAAATTTTAAAGTATAATTAAACATTTTCATGTCGAAACAACTGCCGTAGCCGGATTGCATCGCATTGCATCGACAGCATTATGAACAGTAGTAATCACTATGAATGGTGTTTAATTGATGCATTTTTAATGCATATTTATGAGAAGCTTTCACAATCAAAACGTCACACACGCACGCACGCACGCGCATACATATACACAAACACATTCATTGCGTGATACTTACTCTCAATTTGTGCGGCATTTGAAAACACTTAAGCGCTTCACAGCAATTTTTTTCATCTGTTATCGATGCTTTTCCTTTGCATGGCTTGTCAGCCTCATGCATGCAGCATAATCTTTTGTGCCTTTTTCACAATTTCATTCCACTAAAAGCTGACGCGTCGCAATCTGCAAGTTATGAAACATTCTAGAGATTTTTAAAGAACTAGAAAATATTTAATGCATCTCTTGATTTCGTCGGATGGATGGCTAAACCTAATTAAACACATAAATAAGAAAACTTTGCATGCCGGAACCAATCGACTATCGAGAAAGTCAAAACGTCCTTGAAGAATGGGACCACATGCACTATGTTAAAATGTCTGCAAAACCCAGGAGCAAGCTGCACAAACCATCTAAAGTATTTATATCCTAGGTCAGTATAAAACGCTAAATATTTCAGGGCTTGTCTGTCCTTCTGTCTGAGAGAATTTGTCTGATAAAAATTCTTCCTGTCACAAATAAATCTTTTTTCAAATTGCGCAAAAGACATTGGCAGTTATTGCAGCCCAGTTGATACTGAAAACGCTCCAAAACGGTTATGCAGACAGGTCCACAGCACCACATAAGCTGAGAAATATTATTTTTCTTTGGTTTTTATTTTTCGTTTCAAAGGAACGTAAGGAGCAGGATACAGAAGACGCGGCACAGCAAATAGATTTTTCTTACTTCGTCTTCTTCTCTTTAGTAATTCAACAACCGAAAATTCGCTGAGACCTGCAAAAAAGACCCAATGTGAACACAGAGTTCATTGTTTGAGCCTTAGTAAAGTTTAGCTTAGATTTGACATACATTGTTATAATCTGTTTATTTTAATATTTATTTGATTACGTGTCCTTTCAATCTTGCGTGTTTTACGTCCTCCACGTTACATGTTTTTTTTTTTAGTTTTATTAAAATATACATATTACTCGATGGAACAGAACAGCGGGAAATAAATTTCGTTGTGTAAGTAGTAATGCAGTACATGAGTATAAAGTATCATATGAAGGAATTGATAGATGCGAGAGTGAAAAAGTGTAAGAGAGAGTAGGTTCGTAGTTCGACTGTCAACACTTATGTATCTTATGTAAGTGGAAACCTTCGGACAGGCAAATAGAATACGATTAGGAGATTGCAAAGCCCCACATGTACATAAAGAGCCATTCTCCGTGTGAATTTTGAAAAGGTGATCATCACATCTCATCATCATCTCATTAAACATCAGCCTGGTAGCAAGGTAAATATTGCCCCATCTAAGTCCACAAACGATAAACCAACAAACTTTATTTTTAAAGCGAGCATGTCTGTCCCTCCGTCCATTCTAACCCCTATAAGATTCTTTGTCACTTGCCTTGTTTGCATTGCATATTAAGAGAAATTTGAAAAACTTAATAATTGTTTGAGTAACTTTTGGTAATCTTTCGCATTGGCAGAAGAACTCTGTGAGCTCAAGGTCAAGCCTGATACAAACTTGATAACAGATTGATCATTTTTATATAAAATATTTTTGGAAATGTTTCATTTTAGTTTACTCTATGCATGGATCATTATTTAAGTTTCAGTTATTGACTCTCTTGTGTTTATTAACTAACTTACGTATATGCTCGTCAGAAATGGTAGAAAGAAGATGAAAGCATAAGTACTAATACAAAAGGGTGGGCATGCAGCAGTCAACTATTTAAGAGAGCTATCTTATGGCCTTTGCAGAGCTCCACTACGATGGTTGATAAGCGTTCTTGTTAATTATCGAGTTGAGCTTCACGTCGAATACTAAGGCCGAACTTTATAGCCAGGCAAATACGTGTGGCTGGGCAAAAAGCGTTGAACTGTAATTGATTAAAAGTCTATAAAATTAATTTAACTCAATAAAGAATTTAGAGGAGTGCAACGAAAACATGTTTGTAACAGATTCACCTCACTCTTCTTAAGAAATCACTGATGAAGTCAAAAAAAACTAACAAACAATAGAAAAAGATGTAGTAGTCGAGCAGTCCGGATATTGATAAAGAATTGAATATCAATCTCAAAATACAGTTAGTGTTGTATATAAAGCTAAACTTTCTAAAGTTCATTTCAAAAAATCCGTGTCAAAATCCTTTGATTCGGTTTTCTGTCTAGAAAATACAGAAGACCTATCCTGATGGCCATAAAGGTGATGAAAAGGTCATAAGTAATAAAAGTAAAATATCTCTCAAAACTTTTTCCATAAACTTGTCTCTGTTAATTTATTAGAATATCGCGAAATTTTCAAACCATCGCCGCCTTTAATTATTCGTATGACACATCACGTAAATGTAAAAAAAAAAAAAAATAAAAAAAAAACATTTAAATATTCACACTTTTTATCGATAAATCATTTTAAATTTATTTCTGAATTAATTTAAAAGCAATGAGAAAATACCTACGCGGATATATATTACAATTTATATGTTTTCTACCCTTCTTTATAGATCAAATGGACCGACCTACCGCACAGCGCCAAGAACGGAGACATAGTACGCAAGCAATGATAGACGAACAGGCGACAAACGATACAAAAGCATAAGCTATCATCATAAGCAGAAAAAGAAATGAAATGCAAATCTTAAGAAATAAACAAAACATCCGTTGTTGATAACATTTAAATGCATACATGCATGAGTGCCCGTGTACGTGTGAGTGAACCCAAATAATAGAGGCAGAAACCGAAGCAATTAAACAAAAAAAACCCAACCAAATAAAATGAAAGCAATAAACAATAAATTTAATAAAATCAATTTTTAACTAATATTAAGCTATAATTAAAGAACAAAAAAATGAGTGCCTAGAATATTTGCTCTAAATCAACTTAAAATTTATTTAAGGTAGAGGTTAAAAAGAAAAAAAAAAAATAAAAAAAATAATAATATTTTCTTTGTTTTAAGCAATCATTTAATAGAAAAGAAAAAATTTGTGTTAAAAGTAAAACTCTTGAAAAGTAAGAAGTTTTTCTCTTTTCTACGCGATAGCGGGTAGTGGGTTTATTCGCGCTAGCGTTAACAACAATGCAAAAGCAACGGCTAGGCGCGTTTTAAAATTTTTCCGTTCAACCGTCGCAGCAAATACGAAGCAAAACGAAGAAACCGTGAAATCAATCAACGAATTCTATTAAAACATAATTAGTGTTTGCCGATGTTTATTTTTTCGTTCATCTTTGTAACGTAAATTGCTTCGCGCAACTACCCTTACCTTCGCTGAAACAGTGACAATAATTCTCCAGGAAAAATGCTGGCCGGCATCAGGAAACGTTTAGCTCGCAAGTAAGTTCATCACATAGAGATATCTATTGTATTAATATACCCTTTAATGAGCATAAAAGTAAATGGCATTGAAATGTGAAATGTATACGATCCCTGCCGGAGCATAGTAGATAGGCACTAGATGGAAAGAAGTAAACCCTAAAATACAACTCTGTCTCTCTTTTGTTATATTTACACATTTTCTTATATTTTTCGATGTTACTTAAATCCTTCGCGTACACATTTATCCTTTTTTCCTCAACTCAGCGAACGATCGCTTCGTTGATTTGCTAACTGACAGCAGAAGATCAATTTCATCAGCTAAATCAGTTTAAGAATATTCATAAATGTTGAACTATTTCTGCAAATTAATGTGAATACACAAGTAAAACAAATTCTTGACCAGTCCACCTAGCCTGGTTCATTGGTCGCTGTGGCAAAGAAACGCTTATGGTTATGATAAGTCAGTCAGTTATAAAAACTAGAGCTGCGATGAACACTTTCAAAAGCTTATGGTGACGCTGCTCGATCATATCCCAATCGTCGATTTTGATTTGGTGAATGATTAGCAGAGGAATTAACTGGAAATGCTATTTTGGATTGCTTGCTAGAAGAGCAGCAACAGCATCCTCTTGCGTGGCAATGCTCGGTCGCACATATACATTGTTGCAGCTCAAAAAGGAGGTTTTGCCGCATGTAGCGTATTTACCAGACATAGTGCCTTCTGATTACCACCTGTTCAGATCAATGCAGCGTGGGTTGGCTGATGTGCGGTTTCGAACTACTGAAGAAGCACGAAAATGTATCGCTGATCAGATTACTACCAACCCAATATCGTTCTTTTGGCACGGTATCACAGTGCTGGCAGAAAGGTGGGAAGAAGTAGTAGAAAATGACTGAAAATATTTTCATTAATATAAATTGTATCAATTTTTGTCAATAAATGCATTTTTCAAGCGAAAAAGTGATCAAAATGCAAGCAGGTACGGACTTAAATTCCTTGGCCTAAAATAGGCTTTCTGGCAACCCAGAAATTTCTCTTAAGACTTTTTTTACTATATAATTCCTTGGACCATTACCGAGATAAATTACTGTATCCTTACGGATTTTATATAATCTCCTCCTCACGACCATATGGCCAGTTCTTCCTCTTATAGCTTTTTAATAAGTCATCGAGGAATTGCTTCATTCATTTCCAGTATCACTTACTTTAGCCATACAGTCATGATTAATAACTATCGGTTCCAGTGATCTAACATTAACTACTGCTGGCTGACGTTTTACATCTTTACACACTCTTCGTTCAGGGAGATAGAGCGAAGCTGCTTTCGTTCCACGTTTTTCGAATTCTTTTCGGTTTCAGATGCGTGTGACCGGGCGGTTAGCTTCCTATTGCAAATTTTTGTTTCCCTTTTTTTTAATATAACCCTATTTGTCCCCTATTGTGTAACACGGTGACGGACAGAAAGAAGAGATGTGGGAGAAAGAGATATGGGGGTGGTAGCAGCAGCTTAGTGAGCGTGTGTCCAATCGATAACTGTTATGCCTTTACCGACTGAGCACTCCCCAGAGCTGCGATCAGAGAAAACTCTACCGCACTTAAGATTTAAATCCTTGAATACTTACTTGGCAGTCGCTGTTCTCATCTCCTCGACTAGTCAAGCGGATAATTAACTTCGAACATGAATTTACTTTTCATTGCGGTCTAGTCAGTTGGACGGTAATACTGTCGCCTGCAACTATTTTTACGCTAAAGCGAAAATGTTTGATCTGACTTATATGTGGAACTAACATTATGTACAAATTTTGTCCTCACAGCCTATTTTAGGAGATGCTTTTGTACTTGCAGGCCGTCCTTCTTTATTTTAAATTGAAAATGCTTTCGAGCTGATATGACTTTTGAAGATTCGGAGACAAAATGAATTTGAACGCAATGAACGCGTTTGCGTCGTGCATCGCACACCAAATGCCAAAATAAAATTTGATTTTGATTGTCTAAAAATAATTAAGCATTCATTGTGTTCAACGCTTTACTTGTTATCTCTGCCCAGACATATAGTGTTCTAAGACTTTTTCTCGAAATTAAGTTAAATCACGTCAGGTTAGACTGTAGTTTTACAGTAGCGTTCCTCAAAACTGGCTTGAAGCCTCTGCAGATCAATAAGTGCCAGCCAGTGCGATATTTCGTTGTCTAATTAAAACCAGATGTCGAAAATTTGCATACGTTGCAAACACACCACCAACTGATTCGCAGAAATGCCGAATCCTTGTAGGAAAACACAAACATAACAATTTTCTTTATTTCTAAAAAGAAATGCATTTCAAAAATTTGTGGAATCATTGCATTATTAGTTTACTTCTTTCAATACTTCTTTCTAAGGTTCATTTCGCATGAGCATCATGTTGTGACATTTCTCACGCTCAAACTCACCACGTTCTCTCAAGGCCGGAAATTGTGTGTCAAGAAAGAAAACATGTTGTTAAGGATTGTATTTGGATTTTCCTCTACAGTTCATTTTTATGGTACCAATAAAACGAAAATTAAAAAAAAAAATTAGTATTAAGAATATTCCTTATGTGCATTCCTTAAAAGTGAGACAGATGGTTACAACTGACCTGACTGCGAGATGATAATTTTGAATTTTTGATAAAAGAAAGTACACTGTACAATATTGTTTTCTTTTTTGTGATGTCACCTACCCCCTTAGGGAATATCCCCTATAGGCGTAGCGATAGCGATGACGGTCAGAAAGAAGTAAGGAAAAAGAAACAAAGAGAGAAATAGGGAGGTGGTGGCGGCAACGTAGTGGGTGTGTGACCATTATGCCTTACCGACAGAGCTTTCTCTATAGCTGTGAACACCGACTTGGGAGTCCGTACAATATAAATTATAACATGAATGAATTTATAAGTCATCTTATTGCTCCGATCTATTTGACCCAATGGCTAATGTATGGGATTATTGTTAATTTGTCGTCAAAACTGTGGCAATAACGTTTATTATCGTTCGTTACATAGTAAATGAATGCACAATGCACAATATTTTTAAATTCACCTTTCAAGTAAAAAATGTAATGAGAACAAATAAGAACACCATAGGCGAGCATGGCCAACCATTAGATACCCTATACTACTTCGACTAGTACTTCATTCACTTGTTTTGCTAATGATACACTAAAAATTACACATTATTTCCATGCAATGCTATACTTTTCATGAAATCCCGTACATTGGACGATATCACATGACGTGTTCCAAATCCACCAAACCTAGTTTACTTCGTAAATATTACTATAAAGCTTACTATTCATGAGAAATCTTATATGGAATCGTGTCCAAGAAACACACCCATTTACATTTTTGTATCAGATTATTATTTATGAATACTCGTAAGCACGGCTATATGAAAGAGGGTTCAATAAATTGCCTCGGCCGAATCAAAGTTTTCACACTAATTTAGAACGTCATAATACTATTACTTAGACACTTTTCCCGAGAAATGTTGAAAATTGAATTTTTTTTTCGAAACGAGGTGTTATTTGAGGAGAGATCGAAAAACTGAAGGGATTCAAAACATTTCAAATGGTGTTCGTCCTTAGGCGAAGGCAAATGGGACATGCGTACAATTGTCAGGCGGACAAATCAGTCTAGATCGATTGAGAAAATGATTCTAAATCAATCGGTGTAATAAAAGCCCTCCTGGATGCTCTATACGTTCGCATAAACTGAAGAATATTTTATGTTACAAGTGGTGTAAGGTATAATTAAAGTAGAGAATGGACTTGAAGAAAAAACATTTCTTTTAATAAATAAAACCTAGTTCCACTGAAGTCAAGTTCTCTGTTTTTATCATTTACTTGCCTCCATTTCGAAAAAAGCAATCTTCACTGCAGTGTACCGCTTCTACAGACTTTTGCCGACTTTGCTCGCGGGAATTGATCGAATAACTCGTGGATCGTTTACTTTATATATTAAAAATATCTAATCATCAGATGACACTGGAATTTCGAGTTGTGTTAGGATAGGTTGGGTTGCCTTCAGTTCAACAAGTAAATCTCTTTGCGGGATTTTGTGATAAATAATCTCTCTGTAGTGCATTTCTAAAGGTATAAGTTCTGGATCGATGCTTAAGAGATTCACTGAACCCAGTTCAATTCCACTGAGTTCAATTCTATTATACTCTCTTCTACGTCACCTGCTTTACTAAGAAAGCTCCGCATTATATGCATTTCCTTTCGGTTTGTGGAAAATTATTGAATGTAGGTGAGAAGGAAAGACTCCATAGCTTGATTGAGAAACGAAAATAAATTAAATTTGTGAAAGTATTGTAGTGAGTAAGCGGCCATCAATAGATACCCTACACCATTTCGCTTTGTACATGTCATGTAATGACTTTTCAAAATAATGCGTTATATGGGAAAGGAGTCGAAAAAGTGGTCTGATTCGTATCATTTTCACGCATGGAAACAAGACGTACTGACGAACAAGCAAGCTTATATCCTGAATTTAAGCGTATAATAAAAGTTGTTTCTATTTCAAGTCCTTCTGAGTGTTGCTGTACATCAGCAAAAACCTTAGTGTACCTTTGTCTTACGGATGTTGTAGGATATAAAGAATCGGGGAAAAAAGTCTGTTAGACGACTTTCAGAATTTATTAATTTTTTTTTTTTTTTAATTTTTAAAACAAGTTGACTTAAGTAGATTGATACATTTTTGCTGTTATCGTTACTGCAGCCATTACTATAGTTATTATTAGTTACATATAAATAAGTACGTATGTAGGTATATGCGTATAGATTTATTTTTCTTAATTGAATTCTATGTAATCGAGAAGTGAATTTGTTGCTGCTGTTGGTGCTTGAGAAGTATTTTTTTGGAAATTTTGAAATTTTTTCTTAAAATCTAATTAAATATTTGTGTTTGTTGTGTGTGTAAATATATACGTGACAATGATATTATTATGACTTTATCTTGAAAATGTTTATTTTTTTCTTTAAAGTTTTTGTACAATTTCGTATTTCTTTCGAAGATCTACACTTTCATTTTTTGGATCGTATTTCTTTTTCGATGCCAGTTTGGCGCGCATTTCGGCCGCAGTTGTAGGCAACTGTAAGCTGCCGGCCTTAATAGAGCCCGTTCCATTAGCGTTCGCTGATGTAGTGTTATTGCTGCTCGAAGCATTATTTGCTTCCTTTGCAGAACCGTTTGCCGCCATCTTATTATTTGCTGCCATTGTAGCTGAAGGTGGTGGTGGTATGTTTGTTGTCATGGTTTTCATTGTTGCATTAATCGTATCGTTGTTGTTAGTATTGGGATTCGATAACAAGGTGTTGGCATTGTCTATTTGATCGCTACCATTGGCACTCACAGTAGCAATGCTCTGTTGACTCTCCTGCGATACCCGCTTAGTAGAGACCATAGTAATCGTGTTAATATTTTCACTAATGCCCGGCACAGTTTGTGAGGTGCCAACAATTTCCTCAACATTACCATTGACTGTCTGCTTATCATTATCACCTTTGCCATCGACATCGATTAGCAACAGTCTCACCTCATTGGCGATAGCCTTTATACGTTGCACCACTTGCTTATGACTTTCGTTACCAATCGATACCCCATTAACCTCAATGATGCGATCGCCCTCCTTTAAACCAGCCGATTCGGCGGGTGAATTACTATCGACTTTACCAATAAATTGACCAGGCTTGGCTTTTTCTGAATGCAAGTTAAAGCCGTAACCATCGAAATCCGCTCGCTTAACAATATGGCAAAATTTTGTTGCCGATGACTGATCCGACTTAACTTCACTTTGTGACATATTTGCAATATTTCACAAATCGATATAAACTAGCGTGTGTACTGCAGTACAGTAATCAGCAATAGCAACAGCACGTCAGAAAGCAAATTTAAACTGTAACGAAAACATGGGAATAATAAATGTCAAAATGAACTTTATAATAAACAACAATCGATTTATTGTAGTAAGTAAATTCGCACAACGAATGGTATCAGAATATTCTAACAACTGAAATAACTAAAAAAAAAAAAAAAAATTCACTTTGTTGAAACAATAGTACAGACGACGATGATGGGTGCGTGCATGTGAGTCTATATGCAATACAATCGCTAAATACTAATTTAATTTTACTCATTGTTTTTTTTTTTTTTTTTTCTCTAAAGTACTTTTATATACAACTTCCGTTTTTATTTAATTAACGCAAATACAAATGAAATTGTTGACAATTTTATGGGTTTGAATTTGTTTTACTTAAATTCAAAAGCGTTGATAAGAAGTACAAAATGTTCCCACTAATCATTCGCCCAAGATAAAATTCTTTCTTTCATTCCACTTCTATGCGTTTATAAGTGTATATTGCGGCAAAGAGAACTAGTTTTTGAAGTAATCTTCAATATTCACTATGCAAAATACATGTACGCGTGAAACGAAATTTTTTCTTCGTTGTGCGTTGAACGCTTTCATAACCTTGTTACAGTTTTGTGCAGAACTTTAGACCAGTAACCCGACGTATTTAAAAAATATGTAAAGAAACATTGGAGGTTTCGTTGGCTCCCTGAGTTTCGTGGGCATCGCTTTCGAGGGCATCACGTTTTAAGCAACAAAATATGTGTTAAACTTTAATCTTTCGTCCTGATTAGTTGTGTTTTGTGGGATAGGTGGACGAAGCAATAGAGTTATATTTATGAATTACTATATATATAGGTGTATATGTATTTACATATATTAAACTATATACATGAATATATGCATGTATACAAATAGACATATGCATAAAAATATATGTACATAATGTACGTATATATGCATATATATAGATATAATTTTTTTATTACATATTTTAGCATATTTCATGAACTCTTGTCGAGGTAGAATAATATATGTAAAAAACAAGCAAAACTACTATAATGAGGCACGGGCCACTATGTAGTATCCTACATGAGGCACGGGCAACCGCTGGCCTCGTGACATCCTTAAGTCCGGCCCGTTACGTTTAAAATTTCAAATGATTCAATTTGCTCGCATATAACGATGCTGCAAATGCTGAATTGTACCTAACTTCACTACCGTCTCCCTCGGTTATGCAGTTAATAAATGTGAAACAGGTTAAAGTGTTAAAATGAGCCAACGAAAAAGAGGGACAATTGATGCAGAATGCCCTATTTTTGATAACAGATTGAGACATGGGTTTCACGTGGGTTCCTGCCTTGATGGCTCAATCCCACGGTGGGCCAAGCCACGCGGATTATTTAAAGGTAATTCACGCCCCCTGTTAGACAATCCTTATAAACTAGGGGCTGAAACAGCACCAGAGTCCAGATTATTTATTGCAAATGGTTCAATGAACCCACTATGGTCAGTGTCGAGGCCTATCCGCACCTCGATTTGTTCCACTTTGTCATGGAATGGGTGAAAACAACAGCCACCACGAGTACTCCCCGAAGGGCGGCACGGGCTAACATCGCTTAGGAAACATATTCTAATTAAATCGGAATAATAAAAGGGGTGTTTGTCTCATATCCTTCTGAATATTACATGCATCCGCACAAACCTAATATATCCTTGCTGCAAACGCGATGTAGGATATAAAAATAATATACTGCATATGTGAATAGGTGTCCATCCATTTTCTTTCTACGATCGGGGTAAATGTTAAATGCATAAATATTCAAAGATCTGTTATCAATTTTATTGCGGCGGCTGTGCTCATGGCTTTGCTTTTGTAACTCATCCACAGTAATACTTTAGTAGCGCTATACGTCGTAGAAAAAATACGAAGCTATATCTGGTCAAAACTCCAAAAAACGATGTTGTCGCCGCTTTACAGTGATAATTTCGAAAGCTCCGTACAGCTTATATGAAGAACTGACAGTTTTATTCAGCATTCTACAACACTGCCTGAGAGCGTTTTGCAGTAACTCAGAAAAAGGGCGAACTCGTTATATTCACACTTCCGATACCAGGCCGCAAATTTCATTTGCAGATCAGTTTTTAATTTTTCGATAGTTTTATGAATATTTTGTATCTCACAAGGTCGAGTTGTCATGAAATTAGGAATTTGGCGGATTAGAATAAAGCAAATTTTTCATTCATCAAAAATGTTATTCGTAGTTGCAAAGTTTATTCGTATTTCGAAAAACCGATTTCGCTCCAGTTCATGGATATTTGTATATTTCTGTTTACAGCGATGAAGAAAAAATCCTTTATAATCTCTCCTTGCATCTCTCTCTCTCACTCTCTCTCTCTCTCTCTTTCTCTCTCTCTCTCTGTCTTCTTCAATTGCAATAATAAGTACTAAATATAGGCGAAAGAGCAATACTCACGATTTCCTCCTGTTCTTCGACTAATCACATATTCCTAACAAATCTCTTATTCGGGTGACTTCAATGAGAAATTTTCGTGTAAACTATTTAAGGAAGAAAGAGCCTAAGCACAATGCATGCATACGTACTGAGTCGAGTGCGTCATACATTCGACTGTCAAACTATGGAATAGTTGTCGGTGTTCGCATATGGTTAAACATATATCTGGCATTGCATCACTGCAACGGTGCATGGAGATGGCCACCTTCATCTCTGCTGCATGCATTCGCATTAACAAGCAAAGCAATGATGTTTACGTAAAGAGATAGCAGATGATATTAAAATGATACGATGATATTAAATATCGTTAGTTATGACTGCAATTAATTATATATAAATAATATATGAATTACTCCTTAATTGCGAACAGCAACGATGTCCGCACAGAAAGTTTAAATTTTGGAAAAAATTTTGTGGCGCTCGTTGGTACTTATGTAAATGAAATCTAGCCGCATAATTAATTTTTCTATACCAGCACCATAGGACTTTGCTGCCGTAATGAAATGTCAGCTACGAGTGTTGCAGCTCTTCTCAGAGGATTGCATTGTGTTCAGCTTTTAAGGTATTGCTTTTTGGTTGCCTCTATTCCTTTTATTCTTCAGTGCACGTTTTTGTTCGCGAAAGTGAAAAGAGTGAAAACGAATGAACGAACACAAAAGGCAACAAATGAAGTTAAGGCTTAACGAATGCACAGAAGAAGATAATGAAAATTAAAAATCGCTGAAAATGAAACACAAAGCAAATACTGTGGCATTAGGAAGAAGATGCTAGTCTTGAGCCGTTATTTTTTCTTGCCAAAAACTTTTTCCTTTTATTACGCACTTTTCATCAGCTAATACGCTCCGATCTGTAATTAAATTCGATATGGCAAGCAAACACTTGCGCATATACCCAAACATAAACGATTGCAGCGGAGCAACTGTTACTAATAGTAAGAGATGAACTTTTAATTATCAGTTATTTCGCTATTTGTGTACGATGAAGTTAAATTAATTTACGAAACTGAACTGAGTAAACAGAGCAAACTTGATTTAATCAGTAAACTTCATTATCTACTTTCATTCATTCTCTCTCTTCGTGATAAAATGATAAAAACTTTGCAGAAATCTTTTCAAAAAAAAAAAAAAAAAAATCTTTTCCTAAATCGATTTCATTCTCGAACATGTTGAGCGGTCTGCGTTTGCTTACTTATAAAACTATTTCCATTTCGTTTCAATATTTTTCTTAACAGTAAAAATCATAAGCAAAAACTTATTTGCTGACTATATAGTGTAATCTTCGTCAACTCATCGGATAACTGTCGCTGACATCTATTTAGTTATCATCAGACGTGAACACGTTTCACATTAAAATACTTTTACACTAACTCTTAATAATATTATCTCATAAATACATTTTTGCATGTATGGGCATATTCGTTTTGTCAAGCGACATGTAACACCCCCGAAGTAAGTTTCACAGAATGTGCAAAGTATATATAAATTCATGATCGGCACGGGATTTTCAATTGATCTAGGCGTGTCTCTGTCCGCCCAGGGATTGTCCGTCTCTGTGTCTGTCTATGCTAAGCATCTCTCTGATAACAAATTTCAATGTATCTGCTTTAAAATTTATTAAAAATATTGAAAGTTCTTGCCGGCAGACTGATACGGGAAATAGGTCGAAACGATCGAAAGACGCCCTTGTGTTCGTACATAAAATGAGAATGTCCCTGTTTTCCGGGGGACAAAAAGTACGTTTTCTGTATATTATTTGCAACAGATACAACAATAAAGCTTTCGCTGGCCTGTATAAACATGAAAAAAATTCGTTGTGCCCACTCAATGGGTATATTAAAACTTTTGGGCTTGTATATAACACCCGGATTGATTCTGAAGGTTGGATGTCCGTGCGTCTGAGTTGTTTACTTGTGTTCAACGTACAGACCACGATTTTTGAGAAATTTCGGTACAGTGGCATGTTTTGGCCTAAGGACGAACGCTATTGTGGATGGTTCGGATCGGAACGCTTCTTCGACATACGAATAACCGCATTAGGCGAAGTACTGCATGCTATTTGAAACTCACTATAGTGTAGTGTTTTCTTTTGTTTTATGTACACGTAGGTGTAAAAAGTTCGTCTACAATCCAATATCAATTTTTAACATATATCATTTCTTCTTGCTGTTTCACTAAAATTAATTGTACGCGTCATGTAACTTTTCAATTATCACATTTATACGTGTCTTTTTCATAGCGATGTGATGAAAGCAAAAAAGAACTTAAGTTTACGACTTGACCCGAATTTGTTAATGTCCGCTACTAGTGTTTGCATACATTGTTTGCTTCCAAGATAGAATCACGTACAAGATCTATTCGCTCGATATATCGACTTTTCGTGAATTAAAAACTCTTTTCCAATCTAAAAATCATCTAAACATATTCCGCCACATAATTGATTCAGGTAGTTTTCGAAACTGGCAAGAAGATATTGTTAAGGATTACTACTGTAAGAGTCGAGACGTAACCTTTAACACTGAAAGCCTAACAGCCG